CATTTCCAGTGTTTCTGGGGAAAAGTGTTGTGCTGGTAGGAGAAGAAAAACAACAGTGTGTGCTCACTGAACAGGAAGGACCATATCACATGGAGGAACATACCAAACAAGGACTGCAATGGCTGTCCCATAGCTCGCCGTGATTGTATAGTGGTTAGTACTCTGTGTTGTGGCCTCAGCAACCCTGGTTTGAATTCCGGTCATGGCAGGTTTTTCAAGGTGACATTGACGTTGCACTCTGTGTTGCCATCCTTAATCTCCAGCTTCCTTTTAGTGCAGGCTGTGCTAATGGCACGTCCTGAATGTTTACGTTTCCTAAAGTGTGGAAGACAAGGGATTCGATATGAGCAACAGGATCTTTGATGCCAGCATGGTGTGAAGATAAACATTGATCAAGTCAGGCTTCTAAGGCATGGAAGGAATCTTTTCAATTGTTGAGTGTCCATTCTATGCCACAACAACAGAAAGACCTTCTGCAGTTATCATTGAACTATTTAATGTCTCCTACATGACATGGAGTCCAAACTATTGTGTTGTACTGATGTCTACACCTACAACAACCATAAAACCAACCTCACGGTAAACTTTTGTGTACCGTAAAGGTCTGCGCCGACCACAACCCTAAACCTTGCCTACTTAAAAAGCCTTGCCAAGGAGCCCGGATACCTCAGTCGGTAGAGCATCAGACTTATAATCTGAGGGTCCAGGGTTCAAGTCCCTATTCAGGCATGCAAGACTCTTTTTGTGGAGCCACAGCTTGTGCCGTTGAGCAATCGCTTGCCGAAAGATTCATCTGGATGCACAACACGTGTACTAGGCATGAGGACATGGATTTGCAGGCGGTCTTGTAGTCGTGGCCGAGTGGTTAAGGCGATGGTCTCGAAATCCATTGGGGTTTCCCCACGCAGGTTCGAATCCTGCCGACTACGTTCAGGCAGTGCGCAGGACTTAGTTTGCAACCTTCCATGATTGTTTGCAACTCTATTGTTTCTTGGGGAAAAGGGCAGTGCTGGAAGGGAAAAGCAACAAAAATAAAATGGTAGCGCATGCTATATAACTGCCCTGAGGGCCTTTCATTTTTAAAGACATATGACAGAGAGTGACAGTCTAGTGGCTTTCCCGTAGCTCGCTGAGATCGTATAGTGGTTAGTACTCTGTATCATGGCTGAAGCAACCCTGGTTTAAATCCAGGTTACAGCAGATTTTTCAAGGTGACATTGGCGTTGCACTCTGTGTTGCCATCTGTAATCTCCAGCCTCCTTGTAGTGCAGGCTGTGCTAATGGCACATCCTGAATGTTTACCTTTCCTAAAGTGTGGAAGACTAGGGATTCGATATGAGCAACGGGACCTTTGATGCCAGCATGCTGTGAAGATAAGCATTGATCAAGTTAGGCTTCTAAGGCATGGAAGGAATCTTTTCAATTGTTAAGTCTCTGTTCATTGCCACAACAACAAAAAGACCTTCTGCAGTTGTCATTGATCTATTTAATGTCTCCTACATGACATGGAGTCCAAACTATTGTGTTGTACCGATGTCTGCACCTACAGCAACCATAAACCCAACCTCACAGTAAACTGTTGTGTTTTAGCAACATCTACACCAACCATAAGCATAAACCCAACCTCACGGTAAACTTTTGTCTACCGTAAAGGTCTGCGCCGACCACAAAGCTAAACATTGCCTACTTGAGAAGCCTTGTCATGAAGCACGTATAGCTCAGTCGCTAGAGCATCAGACTTTTAATCTGGGGGTCCAGGGTTCAAGTCCCTGTTCGGGCGTGCAAGACTCTTTTTGTGGAGCCACAGCTTGTGCCTTTGAGCTATCGCTTGCCGAAAGTTTCATCTGGATGCACAACACATGTACTAGGCATGAGGACATGGCTGTACAGTCAGTCTTGTAGTTGTGGCCGAGTGGTTAAGCCGATGGACTCGAAATCCATTGGGGTCTCCCTGCGCAGGTTCGAATCCTGCTAACCACGTCCAGGCAGTGTGCAGGACTTACTTTGCAACCTTCCATGATTGTATGCAACTACATTGTTTCTTGGGAAAAGGGCAGTGCTGGAAGGGAATTTTAGTGCAGGCTGTGCTAATGGCATGTCCTGAATGCTTACGTTTCCTAAAGTGTGGAAGACTAGGGATTCGATATGAGCAACGGGACCTTTGATGCCAGCATGACTACGTCCAGGCAGTGTGCAGGACTTAGTTTGCAACTCCATTATTTCTTGAGGAAAAGGGCAGTGCTGGAAGGGAAAAGCAACAAAAATAAAACGGCAGCGCATGCTGTCTTACTGCACTGGGGGCCTTCCATTTTTAAAGACATATGACAGAGAGTGACAGTCTAGTGGCTTTCCTGTAGCTCGCTGTGATCGTATAGTGGTTAGTACTTTGTGTTGTGGTCGCAGTAACCCTGCTTCGAATCCAGGTTATGGCAGGTTTTTCAAGGTGACATTGACGTTGCACTATGTGTTGCCATCCATAATCTCCAACCTCCCTTTAGTGCAGGCTGTGCTAATGGTACGTCCTGAATGTTAGAGGAGCGGCGTCACACCGCCCTGTAGCTTTAGCTCAAAAAAATGAAATGCGGCCATACATACCTCCGGCCACGTAAACCCCGGCCTCCAGAAACGTCCGTGTATATTTATATATATATATATATATATATATATATATATATATATATTTATATATATATATATTAGGGGTGTAATGGTTCACAAAAATCACGGTTCGGTTCGATACGACACAGTGGTGTCACGGTTCGGTAAGTTTTCGATAATGGACAAAAAAAAAAGCCATAGGATTTCTCTGATTTAAATTTTTTATGTATTAAAACTAACATCATTAAAGTATGATCTTGTTTTTATTTCCTTTACTTTAAACAGTGATACAGCTATACTTCCGGGTTTTCTACTTAGCAGCAAATAAAACAAATCCTTCTTTATACTCAAAACCAAAAAGCTGCCAATAAAATATTAATATACTATTGTAGTAGTTAAACAAATTAAAAGAAAAGAACAATTTAGTTTTTATAAGGAACTCAGTTTCAATCAATTTTAAGTATTTTTTTCTTTTCAGAAAGATGTGTGTCCACCTTATCTTCTGACAGCACAGATCTGGTTGATTTGACCGTCACCTGCCATTTTAGTGGATCTGAAAGCAGGAATTATCTGACTGAAATGGGCTTATGAAGGAATAATGTAACGGGGTTCTATTACATTTAACATTTTCTTAAAACCCGAAATTTCCACTACCGATTAAGATCCCTCATATGCACAGCTATAAATGAACCGTTCGCCTCTGTGATTTGTTTTGCCCTGTTCGAATCTGTAGGAATTGCCTGTCTGAGTGCTGTTCCAGTTCCAGTTACTGATTCCATGATGTCAGTGTAAATGAAATGGTATGCTCAAATTTTACCGCTAAAATAGCTTACTGTCTTAGCAGATGTTATTGTTATTTTCCACCACTCTCTTGGTGGTGGTGATGATGCGCGATGTATCTGAAGAGTGGTGGGGGCGTGTGTGTGTGACGAATCTGAAGAGCAGTGGAGGCATGTGCGTGCGATGTACCTGAGGGGCGGGGGTGAGTTGTGCGAAACGTACCTGAAGAGCTGAGAGGGATGCGGTGGAGAGAGGTGTGCATCGAATTTAAGCAACGGGGGGAGACGCGCGATTTCCAGAAGATTATCATTCATTTGCGGGCATCGAGGAGTCTCTTTGCATTGGCAGGAGACTCGTGAAACTTCCGGGAGTCTTGGGATGTCTGGGATTACGTTAATGTTACTAGCCATTTTGCAAGGTAATAAAGCGCTTGCCGGACTGGATAGTGTTTGGAGGAGGGCGAATGTGGTGATATGTGAACAGGTTATTGAGATTGGCTGTTTTGTCAGTTCCAGGAAGTTGTCTCTGTCTCTTGCTCCCTCTCCTGTATCTACAACCACCTCCTTGATATCATCTGTTGCTGCTGGAGCTGTAAGAAACTCTTAAATTAAGTGGTAACACTTTACAATAAGGTTCATTAGTTAATGCCTTTACTAACATGAACTAATCATGAACAACACTTAAACAGCATTTATTAATTATTAATCATATTTGAACATTTACTAACGCATTATTAACATTCAAGTCCATGCTTGTTAACATTAGTTAATGCACCATGAGTTAACATGAACTAACAATGAACTACTGTATTTTCATTAACTAACGTTTATTAACATGAATAAATACTGTAGTAAATGTATTGTTCAGTGTTTGTTCATGTTAGTAAATGCATTACTTAACATTAACTAATGAACCTTATTGTATAGTGTGACCAATTCAGTTTGTTTTTTTACACACAATGAAAGTTTAAATAAGCATTCTTTATAAGTGATATGCAATCATGTAATGCATATTTATTTATCCTTCTTTTATTTATATAGGATGTGAAAGTTTCTGCCTCATCCTCTGGTACCAATTCTGCTCCTCTTGCACCTGTGATTTCTGCATTAGCTAGTACCACCTCTTTTTTAGTCCCTTCTACTGCTCCATCAGTGGCTGGTCCCACGGCTTACCGTACTGCTGACATGGAGAGTGCTCCTGGCTCAGATCCTTGCTTGCTGCCTTTAAAGCTGATAGGGACCATACCACCTCAGAATCAGAAGTGGATTTCATCAGCTCTGTGGACAAACTAGCGGCTGCGCACTGATCTGAAGCTGTGGTATAATCCACCAGAGCCAGCACTCAATTAATAATAATAATAATAATAATAATAATTCTTTGCATTTATATAGCGCTTTTCTAGGCACTCAAAGCGCTTTACACAGTGGGGCTGCCGGCCCAATTATCATCAGGCTCCTACTTCAGAGCATTTTTCACACACAAACTCCGATTGTAGATGCCTTATCATCTTTGGAAGGTCAGACTGTCCTGCGGTGTGTGTGGAAAACAGCTCGATACGTTGATAGGTACTACTCAATGATTACTGAGACTCTCTAGTTCAATTAAGCTGGTAGTAAAAGAGCTCACATTTCCATTATCAAGACCATCATCTGGACTTGTCCTTGACACAGAATGGAGTTCCGACTGATCCTGACAAGAAGGTAAATATACACAGATAATTTAGCCTTTGTCGCAATTGTTTGTCATTCAGGCATACCATAAATTAGTTTGTTTAAATGTCTGCCATTATTTTATCTGTTTTTCACTTCGTTTCTTAATACAGATATGCCTGTGACATGCGAGTGATCCGTTTTCTGAGGGAGAGGACCTTATTTACCTTATAAATATAGTGGATTAGCTTAACGGGAAGAAGATTCATTTGAACGGGGCTTTAAACAAATTGACTCTTTAGATCTGAACAAACAAATCTTCCAGCGATCGTTCGAGTGGACAGTCGAGTTTATTATGGCTGTTGCTATCAAAAATAAAATCCCATTTATGTTTGAGCAGGGTAACAAGATCGAAGTTTAAGACATTAGATTCATAAATATACACAGTCACCTTTCTTTATACAAAATTAAACTTTATTGACCAATCTAACAGAAACAAACACCTAACACAAACACACATTCATACAAGTGTAGAGAAGGGTAAAGAAAGTAAAGTAGGAGGTTGAGAGAATGTAATAATGGGAAAACCTCAGATTTTGTAAGAGCAAACCAAAGGCAAAGGGGCCAGTCATGAGGTCTACTGGTTTGCGACGCACTAAACTGAACTAGACTCTCAATGGAAAATAAAGAAAGGAAGGTATCTCAGATGTTAAAGTCCGAGCTGTACGATTAACCCTTTCCGTCTGGGTCTCCGCCTGCTTTCTTGGAGGTTTCTCTGCATAGGTCTCGTTCTTAGGTCGTTGCTATGACTTGGGTTGAAGAGAGAGTCACTTTTTAGAAGAAGAGTTGAAGAGGAGCTCTTTCTGAAGAAGAGCAAGTTGAAGAGGTTGCAGAGTTTGAAGAGGTTGCGGTTTTGAGTGCTTGGTTCTAGAGAGTTGCAGAGCAGGTTTAGGAGAGCTGCTAGTTAAGAGAGCATGGTTCAAGAGAGCGAGGGTGTTGCTTTGAACAAGCTTTATAGGGCGGGTTCGGATCCACCCTCCATGGAAAGTTGACCAATTAGATCCTAACTTCCTTGAATCCTGGTTTTATGGCTCTTTGTTCAAAGAAGAGGAATTTGCATAGGCAAAATTTATGCAAACTGAGGCAGATATGTTTAAGTCTCTTAAAATGTGAATATGTTGCACTCGCATTAACATGAAATGTCAACGATCAAATAGTACAGCAAGTTAGCTTCAAAACAACTCTAAACATGACGGTTTATGAGCTTGTTTAGCTGCAGTAGAGTTAAACACTGTATGCAGAAGTATTAAAGAGTCAATGAAATGGCAGGTCTTGATATGAGGACTCCCGAGTAGCCACAGCGTACTGGGGTAGCTAGCACAACAACTTTTATATACCCATTGATGAGTAATGCAGGCATCCAATCAGGATTTACCACATCTGGAGTCTTGGAATCATCACAGTGTAGTAATATTGTAAAACTTTATACATGTCGCTCTGCCTAAATCATAAAATATTGAAAGTTTGTTTTCTACTCAAAAAAAATACATGTAGTAAACTAGAAAGAATCTTGAACCTAAAACTAAAGAAACTTTACAAACAAAAGCTGTAACACAGGACAATTGAATGGGCTTTCTAAACTTGAGGCCCTCGTATACTTTAAACTAACTGTCCTGGAGCTCTATTCTCTTTGATGTGTGGTGTCTTCCCAGTGATTTGTTTCTTATTCAGGGAGTCAGACAGAGAACATCGTCCAAAACAACACTAGCTACATGAATACACTGGAGAGTGGAGTACAGATGTATCCGCACCTGTACAATCACTTGCAAAGAGATTTTAAGCCGCAGAGGTGCTGTTTGCCAGATGTTTATGAAGCCGCCATCATTGTCTTTACGGTAAATGCGAGGAGCGCAACACATTTACAACCACGCCTGGAAAACAGTATACCCTCACTCAGCCTTTCCAAACATTATTCAGACATGAAACATCCTTTGCACATGAGAAAATGTTTTGCTGCATTCATGTCATGTTGTCCATGTGCAGAATGAGCGAAACTCTGTAGACACTGATCAAATCTGTACGGTTTTTCTCAAGTGTGAATCATCTGGTGTTTTCAGAGGTGGTAACTGATTAAACCTCTTGTCACAGTGTGAACACTTGTACGGTCTCTCCGGTGTGAATCGTCTGGTGCGGTTACAATTTTGGAGCTGTAATAAAAGTCTTCTCAAGGCCTATACACACCGGGACGCTTTTCATTTGCGTTTATCGTCAGCGTTTTACGAGTAATTTTTCAGCATTCAAACCCAAGCGATTTTCACTGGCTTCAAGCAGAAGAGTATGCAAAACACTCTTTGATGTTAGATGGTGCTACACAACTTTAAGCTTCCGACATCCGCTTGTAACACAGATGAAGATAGAAAGTTCACACACTTGTTATTAGAGTTATTAGTGACTCGAACAAGATGGTTCAAGCAGCAGCGCCAGCTCTAGCGAAGAAGAAATTATTATTGTTCACCAGTGCAATAAGCAGCTCCACGTTCATATCACATTGACAATTTTGCACTTGAGTGCCTCCAAGTGCTGTTTACTGTAACTTCAGCAGCTCCGTGCACATGAACAAAAGTGTCAACCTGACTGGTGGAGAAGGTTTTGACACGGCACGTCAAATAAAAAAATTAAAAAACGAACATAAGGCGTTTTTTTTAATTGACGCTTTTACACCTGGCGTTTTGCACGTTGCTGTGCACGATCACACTGACGCCCTTTATATAGTTACAAGACGTTAAACGTTGACGGTAAACATAAGCAAAAAACATCTCAGTGTGCACGGGCATTCACACTCAAGACCATATAATCTTGCACACCAGTGTGGATCTTCATGTGTTCATTAAGGTTTGCTAATCGGTTGAAACTCTTCCCAACTCTGAGTGCAATAGTTTCTCTCCAGTGTTGGTCTTCATGTTTAAGGTCTGAGGAGTTGCTGAAACTCATTCCACACCGGAGCTGCGGTCACACTAGAGTTTGAGCATGCGAAATTCTTTTGTATGGCGCTGCAAAAAGGGGCGGGATTAAACAAAATGATTAGTCATTAAAAAAGGGAGCGTTTGGTCCATATTTTAAATTTCTTTCAAAAGAGGTCATGTTTTGATCTTTAATTGGTCTCACACAGTCAAGTGATACGTTATTGCAGGTCAGAGTTCACCAAGCTTGAACTTTGCAACGTAGTGAACTGTGAAACTTGATGCATGAACTTGCGTTTCCGGTCTGATGCATTCAAGTGTGTATGAATGGTAGTCTATGGGGAGAAAAGTCCAGTGTGACCGCGGCTCAAGTGCAAGTGAATGGTTTCCTCCAGTGTGGCTCAACATGTGTAGATGAAGGGATGATGATCGGCTATAACTCTTCCCACACTGAGTGCATGTGAATGGTTTCTCTCCAGTGTGGATCCTCATGTGTTGATAAAGGGATGATGATTGGCTGAAACTCTTCCCACACTGAGTGCATGTAAAGGGTTTCTCCCCAGTGTGAATCCTCATGTGTTTATTAAGGTTTGATGAGCGGTTAAAACTCTTCCCACACTGAGTGCATGTGAATGGTTTTTCTCCAGTGTGGATCTTCATGTGATCATTAAGGGATGAAGATTGGCGGAAACTCTTCCTACACTGAGTGCATGTGAATGGTTTTTCTCCAGTGTGGATCTTCATGTGATCATTAAGGGATGAAGATTGGCGGAAACTCTTCCTACACTGAGTGCATGTGAATGGTTTCTCTCCAGTGTGGATCTTCATGTGTTGATTAAGGTTTGATGATTGGCTGAAACTCTTCCCACACTGAGTGCATGTGAATGATTTTTCACCAGTGTGGATTCTCATGTGTTGATTAAGGTGTGATGAGCAGTTAAAACTCTTCCCGCACTGAGTGCATGTGAATGGTTTCTCTCCTGTGTGGATTCTCATGTGTTGATTAAGGTGTGATGAGCGGTTAAAACTGTTTCCACACTGGGTGCATGTGAATGGTTTCTCTCCAGTGTGGCTCATCATGTGTTTATTAAGGTCTGATGATTGACTGAAACTCTTCCCACACTGAGTGCATGTGAATGGTTTCTCTCCAGTGTGGATTTTTTTGTGTTTACTAAGGGCTGATATTTGGTTGAAACTCTTCCTACACTGAAGGCATGTGAAGGATTTCTTACCAGTGTGGATACTCATGTGAATCTTAAGACTGCTTTTGCTTGCCAAACTCTTTCCACACTGAGTGCAGGTAAAACGATTCTTGTCTCTCCTTTTTAAAATATCATCAGTCTGTAAATGAGTTTTTTCCTCAATTTTGACATGATGTTCCTCCTCTTTACTCTCCTCATTCTCTTCAATTAGGTCTGAAATAAATAAATAAAACATTAGTTTTCATTAAGTCTTAAAAACTCCCATTAAAAGCTAAAAAGTAAAGACACTGGAAACATTGGCCACACACTGTAATTTGATGCACATTAAATGTAAAATAAATCAGATCATATTGTGTTTGGTCCACTAACGTGTAAACATTTAAGCAGATTCAATTCAATTCATCTTTATTTATCTAGTGCTTTTACAATGTAAATAGTGTCATTGGCTATATTCATGGCAAAAACATATACTAATACATAATACAATATATAATCATAAAATCAAATCAGTTTCTTAACAAACATGCATTATAAAAAAAAAAGTAACAGCAGCACTAAAAACAGTCATAAACAATCTTTTAGTTTGATTATAGATAAATATTCTAAAAGTCCAGAAGGCACCTTTTCAAACATTTCTTAAAAACATTTAAAATACTTTCCGAATGAAAACGTGAAAAACGTGCACAAGCTTCAGCTGTGAATATCGAGCTTTGTCCGGGAATACTCTTTCTGAAACACTCTGAACCAATCCCTGCTGCAGCAGATACTCATCCATCTCATTTTGAACTAGCTGTATACACTAGTACATGAGTTGGTAGATTGCATCGGATATTTATAAATTCTTCCTGATCAACATTTGGGTGGATTTCCCTTTTTTTAAACTGAGACAATTGCATTTGATAGATGGCTTTTTAATTTGGCTTTTAGGTGGTATATGGCATACATGTATCGTTGTTATTATATCCAACTATTATAAGATGATATTATTAGGCTGGCTTGTGTAGCAAGCCAGACTACTGTTATCCTATTAAACTTATTATTAGGCTGGCTTGTGTAGCAAGCCAGACTACTGTTATCCTATTAAACTTATTATTATTATTATTATTATTTATATTATTATTCTTCTTCTGAGACTAAAAATTAAACTCTATCTCCACCTAGACCTTTCAAGCTATGACCATCAAACTCGGGTCAGACCTCCGAACTATTCTGACTCGAGTTGCTATATCCTTTCCGACTGATCCGACTTTCGGTTTCCCGAAAAACGTCCCGGGACCGTCGGAAAAATCCCATAGACGTAACATTGGATCAAACTTTGTGACCTCATAACTCCGCATCAGAATGTCACACAGACTTCTAACTGGGCTCATTTAACTCAGACTATCAAACTGCCAATGACTGATCACCTTTAAACTTTCTGGCCACGCCCTAGCAACCACTTTTGGACCCTAGAAACCGTCCCATAGACTTCCATTGCAAAAGACTCTCATTGACTTAACATGGGATCAAACTTTGTGAGCTCATAACTCTGCATCAGACTGTCCTACAGACTAATGGCTAGGCTCATTTAACTCAGTCTAGCCAGCAGCCAATCACTGATGGCCTTTTAACCTTCCAGCCACACCCTAACAACCAGATACTGCACCCTAGCAACTGTCCCATAGACTGCCATTAAAGAGGTTCAGACTGATACTGTCATGCTGCAGTGTGATAGAGACATGGGGGTTGTTTTTAACTGTTCATACTGGCAAGAAGCTTTGATACATCATCAGTCTAAGCTGTCAATCAACTCCATAGCAACAAAACAGACTAACCTAGCAACGATATAACAGCAGCTATATCTCAGCATCAGAACATCGTAGAGAGGCGGGGGTTGGCTTGTTTGACTCATGCTCGCACTCTATCTATCTATCTATCTATCTATCTATCTATCTATCTATCTATCTATCTATCTATCTATCTATCTATCTACCTCTATCTATCTATCTATCTATCTATCTATCTATCTATCTATCTATCTACCTCTATCTATCTCTAACTATCTATCTATCTATCTATCTATCTATCTATCTATCTATCTATCTATCTATCTATCTATCTATCTATCTATCTATCTACCTCTATCTATCTATCTATCTATCTATCTATCTATCTATCTATCTACCTCTATCTATCTATCTATCTATCTATCTATCTATCTATCTATCTATCTATCCATCATGCTAACAGCATGCTAATTCATGCTAGAATCATGCTAGTTACATGCTAAATCATGCTAGAATCATGCTAGTCACATGCTAATTCATGCTAGAATCATGCTAGTCACATGCTAATTCATGCTAGAATCATGCTAGTCACATGCTAATTCATGCTAGAATCATGCCAGTCACATGCTAATTCATACTAGAATCATGCTAACAACATGCTAATTCATGCTAGAATCATGCTAACAACATGCTAATTCATGCTAGAATCATGCTAGTAACATTCTAATTCATGTTAGAATCATGCTAACAACATGCTAATTTGTGCTAGAATCATGCTAGTAGCATGCTAATTCATGTTAGAATCATGCTAACATTATGCTAATTCATGCTAGAATCATGCTAGGAACATGCTAATTCATGCTAGAATCAGGCTAACAACATGCTAATTCATGCTAGAATCATGCTAGTCACATGCTGATTCATGCTAGAATCATGCTAGTCAAATGCTAATTCATGCTAGAATCGTGCTAACAACATGCTAATTCATGCTGGAATCATGCTAGTAACATGCTAATTCATGTTAAAATCATGCTAGGTACATGCTAATTCATGCTAGAATCATGCTAGTAACATGCTAATTCATGCTAGTAACATGCTAATTCATGCTAGAATCGTGCTAACAACATGCTAATTCATGCTAGAATCGTGCTAATTCATGCTAAAATCATGCTAGTAACATGCTAATTCATTTTAAAATCATGCTAGGTACATGCTAATTCATGCTAGAATCATGCTAGTAACATGCTAATTCATGCTAGAATTGTACTAGTAACATGCTAATTCATACTAGAATCATGCTAGTAACATGCTAATTCATGCTAGAATTATGCTAACAACATGCTAATTCATGCTAGAATCATGCTAGTAACATGCTAATTCATGCTAGAATCGTGCCAACAACATGCTAAATCATGCTAGAATCATGCTAACAACATGCTAAATCATGCTAGAATCATGCTAACAACATGCTAATTCATGCTAGAATCATGCTAACAACATGCTAATTCATGCTAAAATCATGCTAGTAACATGCTAATTCATGCTAGAATCATGCTAACAACATGCTATTTCACGTTAGAATCATGCTAATACCATGCTAATCTATCTATCTATCTATCTATCTATCTATCTATCTATCTATCTATATATATATCTTTTCATACTTTTATGATGCTAGTAACATACTAATTCATGCTAGAATCATGCTAACAACATGATAATTCATGCTAGAATCATGCTAGTAACATGCTAATTCATGCTAGAATCATGCTAACAACCTGCTAATTCATGCTTGAATCGTGCTAATTCATGCTAAAATCATGCTAGTAACATGCTAATTCATGTTAAAATCATGCTAGGTACATGCTAATTCATGCTAGAATCATGCTAGTAACATGCTATATCATGCTAGAATCATGCTAGTAACATGCTAATTCATACTAGAATCATGCTAGTAACATGCTAATTCATGCTAGAATTATGCTAACAACATGCTAAATCATGCTAGAATCATGCTAACAACATGCTAAATCATGCTAGAATCATGCTAACAACATGCTAATTCATGCTAGAATCATGCTAACAACATGCTAATTCATGCTAGAATCTTGCTAACATTATGCTAATTCATGCTAGAATCATGCTAACAACATGCTAATTCATGCTAGAATCATGCTAACATTATGCTAATTCATGCTAGAATCATGCTAACAACATGCTAATTCATGCTAGAATCATGCTAACAACATGATAATTCATGCTAGAATCATGCTAGTAACATGCTAATTCATGCTAGAATCATGCTAACAACCTGCTAATTCATGCTTTAATCGTGCTAATTTATGCTAAAATCATGCTAGTAACATGCTAATTCATGTTAAAATCATGCTAGGTACATGCTAATTCATGCTAGAATCATGCTAGTAACATGCTATATCATGCTAGAATCATGCTAGTAACATGCTAATTCATACTAGAATCATGCTAGTAACATGCTAATTCATGCTAGAATTATGCTAACAACATGCTAAATCATGCTAGAATCATGCTAACAACATGCTAAATCATGCTAGAATCATGCTAACAACATGCTAATTCATGCTAGAATCATGCTAACAACATGCTAATTCATGCTAGAATCTTGCTAACATTATGCTAATTCATGCTAGAATCATGCTAACAACATGCTAATTCATGCTAGAATCATGCTAACAACATGCTAATTCATGCTAGAATCATGCTAACATTATGCTAATTCTTGCTAGAATCATGCTAACAACATCTATCTATCTATCTATCTATCTATCTATCTATCTATCTATCTATCTATCTATCTATCTATCTATCTTTTCATACTTTTTAAAACTGTTTAAATAAACTATTACCGTCAGGCTTTCACAAGCCAGCCTCAAAGTTTGTTCTCAAACTTTAAGAATCTAGTTATATTTTCTTCTTCTGAGACTAAAAATTAAACTCTATCTCGTCCTAGGCCTTTGAAGCTATGACCATCAAACTCGGGTCAGACTTCCGAACTATTCTGACTCGAGTTGCTATATCCTTTCCGACTGATCCGACTTTCGGTTTTCCGAAAAACGTCTCGGGACCGTCGGAAAAATCCCATAGACGTAACATTGGATCAAACTTTGTGACCTCATAACTCCGCATCAGAATGTCACACAGACTTCTAACTGGGCTCATTTAACTCAGACTATCAAACTGCCAATGACTGATCACCTTTAAACTTTCTGGCCACGCCCTAGCAACCACTTTTGGACCCTAGAAACCGTCCCATAGACTTCCATTGCAAAAGACTCTCATTGACTTTACATGGGATCAAACTTTGTGAGCTCATAACTCTGCATCAGACTGTCCTACAGACTACTGGCTAGGCTCATTTAACTCAGTCTAGCCAGCAGCCAATCACCGATGGCCTTTTAAC